TATCTATCTATCTATCTATCTATCTATCTATCTATCTATCTATCTATCTCTCTCTCTCTCTCTCTCTATATATATATATATACACACACACACACACACACACACACACACACACACACACACACACACACAGAGAGATATGAGATATCTAATTTGATGAGGGGGTAAAAAAGAAAGAAAAATAGAGATAAATGAAGCGTGGATAGACATATTACATGCCCACGATGATATGGAAAACAATGGTGGCTGCATTTACATCAACATTGGTTGCCATGTTCACCATGCATGGATTACTCCATCATCATCATTCCAACTTCATCAACATATCCTTAACCATATTCTTCATCATTCTGCTTGGACTCATTTCTATTGCCATGGCGTTTTCTGCTGCCAAAGATTTTCTTGATTTTAAAGATTTCATTTTCAAGACCTCATCATCACCAGTTGAACATCAACCAAACTAGATCATCCAAAACAACCAAGTTTGATTCACTAATTACTGCTTTTTAATTGCCTTTTATTTTCTCTATCACATAAGTTTCACACCCAAATCACATGTTTACACCAAAATTTTACCAGATGATTTATACCGGTTATTATCACATGTACGTATGTACGTAGGTACGTAGGTACGTATGTACGTAGGTATGTACGTACGTACGTACGTACGTACGTACGTATGTATGTATGTATGTATGGTAGGACTAGGATGAATCAGGAATAGACATAGAAGGAGCCAGGGAGAAGGGATGAGGAGGATATATATATATATATATATATATATATATATATATATATGCAGAGGAGCGATCAAATGCAAACCACTCATATTTTTACAATCATGTAAATCACCCTCATCTGTCAATTTCATTGTTTAATCTTATAGATTTTTCTATTAAATTGTTTAATTTTATGAAATTTGTTGCATATAATACTTTTTTTGATGAAGTTGTTTTATATATGGTTATGAAATTGTTTATATAATGCTTATGAAATTTTAATGAAACTGTTTCATGTATTTCTCTAAAATTAATATAATGAAGATGATAATATCCATGATTAACACCCTCCACAATAAAAATGATTAATTAACCTCTCATAATTACAAAAAAATAAACAAAATGAAAAATTATGATTGGTTGAATGAAGTTTGTACAAATAACGTGGTTTACAAAGTAAACCTCCTCTAAATATGTGTATACATATACGTATATGTCTATGTATATATACATATATGTATATGTCTTGCACCCATTTTTTCTAATGTTTACAACTTTCAAGAATTTTGTTGTTCATCAGAGGGTTTAACTCTTTTTTTGTTCCTGAATCTATAAAAATCGTGATACACGAGCATTTTGTTGTTCATCTGATGCTGTTGTTTATTTGGATTATACATATGTTATTTTCAGTGGGTTCTAGGCTTGAGTTAGGGTTTCAATTTTACATTATCTTGTGTCATAAGATTACTGAATAAGTTCGTCCTTGATATTCCAACTATATTCATGATTTTGCTTTTAAGATTGATTTTAGTTTTTTTTTTTTTTTTTTTTTTGCTAGTCGGTTTCATTGGAGACTTTCATTGGAAGGGGAGAAGTTCTTCGAAAAGAACGAGAGTGGTAGTAAGGGGAAAGGCACGAGGAGCAAAAGGGAGAGAAAAAAAAATACCCCTAACTTAACATAATTTTCTAAAATAAGACTTCCGACTGTTTTGATATGTCATTAATTGTCGGTTTTCGTTTTTGAACTCCATTATTACATTGATTACCGTCGTGGTTTGTATTTTATATCGACTTTGATTCCTCGGACAAATTCCCGTTAGCATTAGCGTTTTTTATGTTATTGGGGTTGAGAGGAGGTGGCCAATGAAGGGAAAGAAAGGAACGGAAGAAATGAGGGGTTGGTTTGAGTGGTTGCATTACTGATAGAAAAAACAAAAACAAAATATAATAAAACAGAATAACATAAGAAATCTTTTAAAATGTAAAAAGACTAAAATACCCTCAATTTTATTTAGTTTTTTTTAATGAAGCTAGTTAAAGGGACCAAAGGCGAAACAAATAGTAAGAGGTTGTTTGTTTACCTCTTAATAGTTCCATTAAGAGGCAACATCTGAATCGTTAAAAGTGAATCTTGTTTGGGAAAAACAAAATCTGCCTCTTAATGGTTCTAAAACCCTCGGAATGATTTTGTATCCAGGGTCTCCCTTAACCATTCAGCACCCTAATTTCATTGTAAATAATTACCAGACAATTATATTTCATTTTGCACTATATCATTAGAGACTCTTAATCATTCCGACAACTTAATCATTCTGCATCAAACCATTCAACAATTGTCAAACAACTCTTAGGGTGCGTTTGGTATGCAGACTAGATGGGACGGGACAAAAAAAAATAGTCCCATGTTTGGCATGTCATAGACAAAAATTACATGGGACAAGGTGGGACTATTTTTAAATTTGATGGGACAAAAGTTGATAATTTTTGTTTCACCAAAAAAGGTGGAACAACATGGGACTAAATGCAAATTTATTACCTTACCCTTAAACCCAATACAAAACCTAAACCCTCCTTTGCCCTCGTCTCTTTCACACCCACACCAGTTCCACTACCACATCGCCTCCTTCCACCCGTCTCCTTCCACCCGCCTCCTTCCACGCCGTCTCCTTCCACCGGCGCCACCGCCTCCTTCCATCGGCGCCACCGCCTCCTTCCATCGGCTTCTTCCATATCGGTATGAATTTCATTTGCGTCGATTTTTTTTTGCTATATCGATTTCATTTGCATCGATTTCTTTTTTGCTGTATCGATTTCTCTTTTGCTGGCATCGATTTCTCTTTTGTTGGCATCGATATCTTTTGGTAGATTTTTGGTAAACCCTAACAAAATCCCCTCTGGGTCGATTTCTGTTGGCATCGATTTCTTTTGGTAGATTGTGGGTAGAATATGTGTGATATGAAACTGTTAATCACACTCTTTTTCTAATATAACTGTGGGTAGATGTTAATCAGCCTCTGTTTCTAATATGAAACTTTGTAAGAACTTGTCAATTTTTTTAGATTTATATTTAATATATTAAACTTGATTATAAGAACTTGTCATTTTTTTTGGATTTATATTTAATGTATTAAACTTGATTATAAAAACTATGTAATTAAAATATATTTTGGTTGATTTGTTGTCATTTTACAATTATTATATGATACAAAATAACATTGAACTACATTTAAGGATAATATGGTCATTTTAACAGTTTTGTCCTGTCATGTCCTAGTTGTACCAAACATGAGACAGACAATTAGTCTTGTCCCATCCCGTCCCGTCCCATCCAGTCCAGTCTACGTACCAAACACTACCTTAAACCACAACATCAACGAGTGTAATAGATGAAGTTTAGAGAGGAAAGCAAAAGGTTACTAAAAAAGTAAATGGTAACTTTTTGGGGGACCAAAAGAGTACCTTTTTATTAGATGGAGGGTATTTTAAGCAATGGCATAACTGTAATTATGAGACAAAATAGGGTGAAGAAAAGAAAAGACTCTTCGACAGCAAGAAAGGATTGGTACTAGAAACGGAGCCGCAATTAAGAGTCTTCAACTGCCACGTGTCAAAACTCCCGGAGTTCAAAAAGCCACGGATCCATCAAATCATGGAACACGTCATGCATATACTATCCATATAATTATATAAATAAAAAATAAATTCAAAAATAGAATTTAGAGCTATCTAGAGAAGGCTATAAATATCTCAAACCTGTTGACTCTCTTCAATTTCTTTTAGGATTCTGCTCGTCTTCCTAAAACCCCAAATTAAATATCCAAGATTCTATACCTTTTATCTCAAAATCTGTACGGATAACCACATAATTTGTAGGATTTAACCCAAGAAACCGTTGATTGTTGTCTAATAGACTGAACTAGCTTTTGGATTTGCTGCGTATGTTTATCAACAGGTATGTTTGTGTTTGATCTTTCATGTTTTTTGGGTAGGTTTAGGTTTTGAAATTTGGAAGGTTTGTGTTTATTGATTTGGGAATTAGGGTTCTTAGGGTTCTTACTGTGATCTGTTTGATCATGTAGACGAATGATGCTAGCTATTAGCTCTCGTTTAATTCGATGATTTTGTGTTGTGAAAACATTAAATATTGTTGATTTTTGATATCTGGATGGAACATGACGCTGCATTTGGATTGAAATTGGAGATAACTTTGGGAGCACGGAAAGTCTTTCCGTTTTCATGAAATTTAGTTTTTGCTTTTTCTAGCATTTAAATATGTGATAAATAGCAGATTACTTGTCCACCAAGAATGTTAATTTGGCCTTTTCTTGTCCACTTGCTCTATGGAGTCTATATACAGTATTTGTTTCTTTTCTTTCTTCTGTAACTCTCTAGAACCCTAATTTCTTACCCTCATAGGTGATATTAATTAAACCCCTTAAGAAGAGGAATCGATTGGTGATCATTTGTTCTCATTTCCAGCCTCAAGCTTCTGATTGATCTTCTATGAATACTTTGAAATCACATTCTAGTGATTGATTTGGCATTTCTGGGGTTCGAAAGTTACAGATTCTTGTTACTGTTGGATCACGTAATTCCTTTTGTTCTTACTAGTTCTGTTTTGCTTTTCAGAAATACAGAAATGGGTCAACCTTCCAGCACAGCAATGGATTCCTCCAGGAAGAGGAAATCACGAAGCAGGCGTGAAGGACCAAAGGGTGTAGCAGAAACTCTTGCAAAATGGAAGGAGTTCAACAACAAGATAGATTCATTGGATGAGAAAGCAAAACCGACGCGAAAAGTCCCTGCAAAAGGGTCGAAGAAAGGTTGTATGAAAGGTAAAGGAGGACCTGAAAACTCGAGGTGCAACTTTAGAGGTGTAAGACAGAGAACATGGGGTAAATGGGTGGCTGAGATTCGGGAACCCAATAGAGGCAGTCGTTTATGGCTTGGTACGTTTGGGTCTGCTGTTGAAGCTGCCTTAGCTTATGATGAAGCTGCACGAGTTATGTATGGGCCTTGTGCACGCCTCAATTTGCCGAGTTGTCGGTCAATGAGTGATTATTCTCAGATGGTGTCGAATGCTTCAACTGCTGGTTCTAGTTGTGATTCAACCACCACTTGTAGTCATTCAGAGGGGGAGTCTAAACGTGAAACGGTCGCGTTGAAGGATGAAGGTGAATCGAATAGCCCTTGTGATCCAAAACATGAAGATGGACAGTTGAGTATGGTTAAAGTCGAAGTTAAAGAGGAACCTATGGAGGAGGAGGAGGAGGAGGAGGTTAGAGTTAAAGAAGAAGCAGATAACCATGTTGATGAGATGTTTGACATGGATGAGCTTCTTGAAATGATGGAGCAGAGAAGTCCTCATACGAAGCAGGAAAGAGGAACGACTGCATACGAGCAGGATAAGCAGGAACAAGATGGTGTTGGTTATGGATACGAGTGGTGTATGGCAGAGGATGGGTTCAGGGAACCGCCATGGTTCGAGAAGGAGCCAGTGAGCCCTGCAGATAAGCAGCAGCAGGAGGAAGATGGTTATGGGTTTGATTTTTTGATGCCAGGGCGGCCTGAAGAATGTAACTTTACACTGGAAGAGTTGGGGTTGGATTTGGGAGGTGATTTGGGTGTGTAAGATACTTAAACTTAACGTACGTCCAGTTTGTATCCAGAAGAAATTGGAATGATAATGGTGGTGGGGTTCGTTTCTTGTTTCTTTCTGAATTCTGACCTGATAATTTGGAAGCCCCTGTGTTGTTCTTGCAGGAACTTGTATATGGGTTTTCGTTTTCTTTTTCTTTTTCTTTTAAAGAAAGGAACTTTGTATAGTTAAAACTGTTAAAAGAGTATATAACTAAGTATCTATATCTATATTACCTTATAGAGCATATTTGATAAATGCTTTAAAAGACTACTGTTTTTTTATGCATAAAGTCTTAAAAGTCTTAATTACAAGTCATATGGTACGATTTAACAATGCTTCATCTTTTACAACTTATCCTTTTAAGTTTTATGTTTCCCATATTTAGTTTTGGTTCTTAATATACGTTGCATTTATCTCCTTCAAATTTTGATCATTTATGTTTCCAAGATTTTCATTTTATTATCAAGGACTCTCTTACCGTTTCAAATTTCAAATGTAAACTTTATATTTTCATAATTCACGATCGTTTTTTCTTAATCAACTCCATTACCCCAGCTACATTCTTTCTCACCTTCGCTGTTCCTCACTCTCTCATTTGGTCACACCGACACCCTTACAACTTCCACACGTTTTTATACTTGTATAAAAGTCTTCTTTTGGCTTTCCATTTTACTATTAGGGTTTTAGCTAGCTGCTTATTTTAAAGGTTGATATTTTGGAGCTCCGAATCTACATTTACAATATTTGTATACATTAACAAACCCATTTGTTTTTAAGTGTTTATTTGATTTAATATATTCGAGATGGGTTGTGATTCGGGTCGAGTATTTTGCTCCACGGCTCCAGTCCTTGGAAAATGCTTGTATCTTGATCCACTATTCCAGTCATTCGGGTCGTGATTAAGGGCTTATGAATAATTGTAGAACCTATTAACACCAACATTTTAGGTTGATGTATATTTGAATATAAATTAGATACAAATGTAGTAGGCTTTGTTATATTTTTAAGGAATTTGATATCTCAAAATTGAATAATCTTAATGAAGTTTTTACATCCCACTGCATTGCATGGATAAACAACTAGTCAGTCGATCAATTGTTACGGGATTTCCACTTTTGAACCTGATTTGACTTCAAAGGTTTAAGTTCATATATCGTTTAACTTACAATAACAATTAGAGCTTATAAGAAAATGAGTTCTTTATATTATATAAAAAATCAAATAATTTCTTTTATTTAGTATCATGAAATGGAACTTCTAAATATGATATCGTTTATCTATACTATTATTTTACAAATATTTTTAAAAAATATTGTTTATTGATATATATTACTTAAAATTCGTACGTAAGTATAAGCTATTAAAGTCTCCTTTTTAAATTTATAAGACTAAGGGGCTGTTTGGTAGGCTCTTAATGGTTACATTAAGAGCCAATCGCTGAATCGGT